GGTGAGAGACGAGTTAGGTCATGTCTCTTTCTGTTCAATCGGATATTAGTCCCGACCCTGATGTCACCTTCCAGCTATTAAGCATCACCCTCAGAGACTCGCATAAGCTGCTCACAAGCCCCTTATCAGGTCGGGCGGGCCCTGAACGCTGTTTCTTTGCAGCTGCAGGTCAAAGGGAAGAGGCTCATTCAGACTTCAGACAGCACTCAGGCCTCAGAGTGGGGGAGCGAATGTCAGATAATCTTAGTCCTGTGGCCAGAATCAGAGGTAGTTCCCTTGGGCTACCAGAGTAAGTGTCCAGGGCCCCCTTTTGGGGCAAGAACATGGCTTGCCAGACCTGGTGGGCTCTAAAGACCTGTCTGGCTTCAAGCCAGCTAGTCCAGTGGTTGGCAAACTGCGGCTCGCGAGCCACATGCGGCTCTTTGGCCCCTTGAGTGTGGCTCTTCCTAAGCCTTAGGAGTACCCTAATTAAGTTAATAACAATGTACCTACCTATATAGTTTAAGTTTAAAAAATGTGGCTCTCAAAAGAAATTTTAGTCGTTGTACTGTTGATATTTGGCTCTGTTGACTAATGAGTTTGCCGACCACTGATCTAGTCTAACCAGCTTCTGGGCCATAGCAGCCCCTCGGCAGGGGCAAGGGCCCTGTGTGATCCATGTGGCCTGCAATGGGCACTGTGACCTGAAAAGCCGGCAATACCACTAATTTAACAAGTCCCTTATCCATCGATCAATCCATCCATCCATCCATCCATCCATCTATTCATCCATCCATCCATCTATCCATCTATCCATCCATCCATCCATCCATCCATCCATCCATCCATCTATCCATCCATCCATCCATCCATCCATCCATCCATCCATCCATTCAACATCAATCCATCCATCCATCCATGTTATAACTATCTATTGAGCATTTGTTATGTGCAGCTATCATGCTAGCAGCTGGGAATAAAATGATCAGAGACGCACATCTCCTTTTCTTCCCTCCAGCTTACAAAGCAGACCACAAATGAATAAGCAAACAGCAAATAGAAGAATTGCAAATTGTGGGAAGGGCCATAAAGGAACACACACAAGGGGGAAAGACAGAGATAAAAAGACAGTAGTGGCCAGGGATGACGGTGGCATTAGAGAAGGGCATGGGTTTGAGGTATTTCTGAAGGTGTCTATTGATGGTTTGCAGCAAATGGGACTGAGAAGGCAACCACTGAGAGAAGGCACATGGCGAGAGCCCAGTGCGGTGTGGCCGAGAGAGGAGGCAATTGACAATTGCTGCACTGGTAGTTGTGAGAGATTAGTTGGCACAGGCCCCTCTGCCTGGCTGGAGGTTATACAACTCTTAATGGAAAACATTTCCACTCAATGGAAGAAAGAAAGCCGCCCACCATGAGCTCTCCTGGTTACTGGGACTGTGGCGCTTTGGGGGTCCAGATAGGAAAGAGTGGATCTCTGTCTGACACTGGTCCTCTTTGAACACAAGAGCTGTAGAAAAATATGCTACCACTGCAGGGCCTGGCCCAGGCAGGTGGGTAGATCTCTGAAGCCCTGAGTATCACTTTCCCTCCCCCCACCGCCCCAAGGCCCTTTCATTTAGAAATGGATCCCCTGCTTGCTTCATCTCTCTCTTCTCTCTGCCTCTCTCCAAAGGGCAGCCACACACTCGTTCGTCCTTGATGCTCTCTCAAGGATGGAGAAACCCATTACTGACAAGTTACTGTCTGGGAATTCTTGGTGGTTTGGATTCCTACTGAGCCACCATTTCCGGTCATAGTCACTGGTTCACATCAGGGAGTCACCGGTGGGGTGGCCTTGCTTCCCTGGCACAGATGTGCACCCCAGGAAAAGCAGAGGCTTTTCACCAACTAGAGAAGCAGCTGGTTCCGGCCGCTACTGTTCAGCCAGCGCTGGTCAATCAAACGGCAACACTGAAGAGTGGGAGGAGCTCAGGGACGATGCATTGGTAGTTGTAAGGGATTCGTTGTAAGGGATTAAACTGGCCGATGGTGAGAGACGAGTTAGGTCATCACTAATATCCGCAAGTGTTCAAAAGAACCAGAAAACACTTGATTGATGTGTGCGTGCACCTTTAATTTCACCATCAGACTCCCCTCAATGGATTTTTAAACTCTGTTTATTGGGGGAAATTAAAATTCTCATATCAAAAGAGATTTTTTTCTATTGATTTTAGAAATTGGCTAATGGTGCTGACTGATGTCGGGCATTGCCTATTATTGAAAATCAGTTGAGCCTTATTGACACATTAAAACTTCCTCTGTGTGCCTTTCGAATTGTCCCTTTAGTTGCTCCTAAAATGCCAAAGTCCTTGGTCTGGGAGTCCAAACAGAGGAGAATGAGCAAAATATAGGAGAGAAACCACTTGGCGTGTGCATGTGGGAAGGCAGGGGGCTTGGTATTGCTGGAGAATGGAGTTTGTGGTAGGGGTGGTGGGTCAAGGTAGGTAGTGGGCAGAGCATGGGGACCCTGGAGGCCTGTGTAAGGTTTTAAAACTTTATTTTGTAGGTGATAGGAAGCCATTGATAGGTTTTAAATCAGGGGTGACATGGATTTGTATATGTTTGTGTGTGTCTGTGTGTGTGTGTGCATGTGATTGCTCTAGGGCAGGGGTAGGGAACCTTTTTTCTGCCAGGGGCCATTTGGATATTTATAAAACCACTAGAGGTCTGTTTCACGAAGAGATTCGTGCAATAGGCCTTCCCTTCCCCTGGCTGCCGGCACCGATTTTCCTCTGGCACCTGGGACACAGGCCTTCGCTCCGGCCGGAGCCTTCAGTCTTCACGGCTCCGGATGGGGCCTTCAGTCTTTGCTCCGCTGCTTCGCCCCTACGTATGCAAATTAACCACCATCTTTGTTGAGTTAATTTGCATACTCTCCTGATTGGCTGGTGAGCGTAGCGGAGGGATGGTTAATTTACATGTTTGTCTATTATTAGGTAAGATTCTCAGGGCAGACAACATTATCAACTTAAAAATTAGCCTGCTATATTTGGTCAAACATTTAATTAACTCACCCCTAATGCCTTGGCAGGGCCAGACCAAATGATTTCTTGGTGCTTATACAGCCCTCCGGCCAGACATTCCCCACCCCTGCTCTAGGGGATGGACTTTGAGGAGCCACAACTTTGAAAGATGTTGGCAGTCTGAACAAAGGCCATGGTGGTGCCAAGATCAAGAGCGCAGTGGGTATGAGGATGATCTACATGGGAAGTGAAGTGAGCAGGGCCAGGTAATTGATTGATTCTGCAAAGCCAAGAAGTGAGCATCAGGGATGCGTCCCAGGGTTCTAGTATGAATGAACGGGTAGGTTGTTGTGTTGCCAACTACAATACAGGATTCAGAATGCAGGCCAAGGAGCCAGCCTCATCGGGGGAATGGAGTCTCCCCCTTCAGGTATTTTAAGTTCGAGGTGCCGGTAGCCATCCAGGTAGCAAAGGGAAGTAGGCAGAGGAATATGAAACCTGAAGCTCCCAGATGGGGTATAGGGAAGTGCTGGCCAGATGTCAGAATGCCAGGATTCAAACCCCAATGTCATCACTGCAACAGTCAGTTTTCATGAGGTGGTGCAGCGGTGACAAATGGCCCCCAAATCCCAGTGGCTTACAACAACAGACTTTTATATCCTCACTGACATATATGAAGGTCGTGGGTTCTGCAGCCCAGGCTATTGGTGGAATTCCTCTCAGCCACATTCAGAGGGAAAGAGCAATGGCAGACACACAGGATGGCTCTAAAACTTCTGCCGGTGCTTCTGCTCACTTTCTATTGGCCGAAGCAGGTCACAGGAACAAGCCTGGATTCAGTGACCAGAGAAGTACCTTCCTCCCCTCGGAGGTACAGCCTCTGGCAATGGCCAGGAGGCTGTATTCCCCTAGTGGAGAAGGAGGAGACTAATTGGGCCCCATCATATGCTCTACCACAGCCACTAACAGGCTATAAAACCTGGGGGCTTAGTCACCTTGGCTCTGCCCTAGTTATCTCGTTTGTAAGACAGGAATACCAGTGCCACCTCTTAGAACAGTGCCCAACACGGAGTAAACACTGTAAGGATGTAGGTAGATGGAAAGGAGGAGGGAAGGGGGGTTATATTTAACGGGCACAGAATTTGTTTGGGAAGATGAAAAAGTTCGGGAGAGGAAAGTGTCCATGGTTGCACAACAATGTGACAGTACTTAACGACACAGAACTGTACTTGAACAATGGTTGAAATTTTATGTTTTGTATATTTTACCACAATAGAAAAATGTAGGTAGATGGGATCATCTGGGGAGAGTTTGAGGAGGGGGAAGGCAGTGGACAGAGGAGAACCAGCAGGGGGTCAACAGCATTGAGAAAGGGGTCTACCTGGAGACATAGAAGGAACATTCTGGAAAGATGAGGAAAACCGAGAGAGGCCAATGTCCTCTGAAGCTACTGGACTGAAGCTAGGAGGGAGTGTTAGAGTCCTTGAAGGGGTCTGTTTTGCTTAGCTTTGGACCTGAACCTTCTCTGTGGCACCTTGATTTTGGTGGGTCTGCTTTCCTCTGCCAGCTCCTGATGATGTCATTTCTGGTCACTGCCCATGGCCTCAAAGCCAATAACTGGCCAGGTCTCCTCTCCTGGATCCCTCCCTCCCTCCCGTCTCGAGCCAGTCCTAGTATGTCCATCGTTGACATCTCAGTGAGACAAATATTTTTTAACTAAAAAGACATAGAATTAGGGACATTTTTTTCCTTGTGTTATTTTTATTACTATTGATGTATATTGTTTTACCCTGAAAAACAAAACCTCCAAACTTTGATTTTAAAAATTAGGGATGGTTAGTTTATGGTCAAGATTTCTTTATTAACAAAAGAGTTCATCTTTTGTATACAGAACTTTGACTATTCAATAAGCCAGAGGATAAGGAAGCTGAAAGCTAACATTTTACAATGGGAAATAAGACAATGCAGTTTGTATGGGGAGAAAGATTTTTGTTTTTTAGGCAACAATTACCCCCATTCTGAAGAACCTAAAGGGGGCTGCCTTGTTCTAGATGACTGCTCCCCCTTTTTGTTGCTTCTACACATTGGTCCATCATCACAGGCGCACCCGAGGATTGCACACAGAGCTGTGATTCTTAGCTCCGCAAGGAAAAAGGTGTGGGCGCTTTGCTCTTTTATTGATTTTATTTTTCCAAGCGTTTTCTTACTAAGTGAATTGACCTCGCACAGTTACCTTGATGTAATCTTAAGAAAATAGATGAAGTATGATTTAGAAAGAAATTACGCATGCTCTAACCAGCCATCTCCTTTGGCAATCATTTCCCACCACAGTCGTCCTTTTGGGAGGGGGAGGGGGGTTCTTTTTACAAGTGAATGATTAAATATACATACAAGAGATCCAAACTCTTGCTGACCTCCCCCTGCGGCAGCAGCTGGTATGGGAGATGGAGCGCTGGGGCCGGCAGGGGGTCCCGCTCCAAGGCTTCAGTTGTCCCAGGCTGTTGGGCCATCAGTCCCGGACTGTCACCCCAGAGGACATGGGCAGTCCACACCCATAAACTTAGCAGCTCCTCCCATAAAAGTAGCATTTGTGTGGAGCACAGCGGAGGGGCTCAGATGCATCCCGTGGAGAAAGGGGCGTTGCTTTGTTGTCCCCATTTGCAGTGAATCTTGTGAAAGCACAGGACACTGCAGCTGGGGAAACTTGCTCTCCCGGGTTCAACATTTCCAGCCCCTTGCCCAGCAGCCCGAGAACACAGGGGACACTTTCCAGCCCTCGGTTCAATAATGCGAGCATCTGGATAGTTTTTCGATCCAGAAGTTGTGGATTTAAAAGGAATACCTGCTCCATTGTTCTGGACGCTGCTCAACAGCCCCAGCTGTATTTCTGAATTAATTTTGAAAAAAGCAGGTGGTGTCCTGGGTCCATTCTCATCCCCCCCCCGCCCCCCACAAGTTAAGCCAGTGTGAACGGGCCTGTACTGGACCACAGAGATGTCCACCAGGATGTTTTCCCCGCTGTCTTCCTCCAGCCAGTGCTAATACACTTGCCCACCTAACAGCCAACACATTCGGAGGCAGGGATGGTTTCTGATTTGCAGCAGCTGAGTTTCTGTCCTCAACCCTCCTCACACTGATTTTCCCAGGGGTTTGGGGACAACTCAGGGCCCCCAAAGGCTCAGCTACAGAGCCCAGAAAGGAAAGGTGGTCTCGGTGTGTGTGTGTCTGTCTCAGTCATTTCCTTTCTTGTGAAGCATTAGCTTTCATGAGTCACCAGCTGGCCCCAGGCTCCTCTCCCAGCAGGCCAGGTGGTGTTCAGACCTGGAGGAGGCCTGGCCGACGTAGGAGGAGGTGGGAGGGGAAGGTGTGGGCAGCAGCCAAGGGACCCCGAGAAGCAGTGTCCCCGGAGCTGCTCCCCGGATTCACTCAGGTCTGACCTGGCCACTGAAGGAGTCACAAGAATTGTGGGAAGAAAAGGCCCTGGGAAAGGGGTAGCTAAGACAGCAATGCTGGACAGAACTTTCTGGAAAACTTCAAGGCTCCCGGGATCACTAGGCAGCTTCATATCCAAGGGTCACTGCAAGATGTGGAAAGGCTGCCCTGGGGTAGGTGGAAGAAGGTGACAGTGGGATTGGGCTGGGGGAGCTGGGTAGGGGCTCCGTCCTCAGTCTTTTATTCTCCATGGAGAACCTCACTCTGAACTTGGAGACGCTGCAGAGTCCCCATCCTCGGGGTCCTGCCCATGAGGGGAGATGGGCTGACCCCCCTTCACACGCTTCCACTTCATCCTTCGGTTCTGGAACCACACTTTGACCTGACAGAGGAAGCAAAGGAGCCGGGTCAAGACAAGCACCTCCCCAGCTGATGCTCCAGCTGGCCAGGGGGCAGCTCCCGGGACCCCAGCTCTAAACACTGCTTGTCCCTCCTCACCCCTCCAGAGGCTCCAGGAACAGAGACCAAAGGGAGGACACACCAATCTTCTCAGAGGCCCGTCTTGTGTCTCCAGATAAAAAAAAGTCCTAGGCACACATGGGGACAGTTTCTACAAGTCACTCGTCATTGGCTCCACCCCCTTTCCCATGCCCTGCCCCTCCCGTGCTACTACCCCCTCCCTCTAGCTTCTGTGACCCAAGGGCCTGGGAGCAAAGGTTGACCAGCCTCATCTTTAGGCACATTTATAAAGCTTAGTAACTCTGCTTTGCACATCTTCTCATCGGAGCTTCATCAAGAGTGGGGTGAGGACCTGTTTTACAGATGGAGACCCAGAAGGGGTGGGAGACATGTCCCAAGGGTCACAGGGCTAGGAAGTGGTAGAGGCAGGATTTGAATCCAAGTCTTCTGATTCTAAATCCAGGACTCTGGCAGAGCGCTATCAAATACTATTGTTATTATCATCATTATTATTAGTATACTTTACTCTACGTCAGAGCATGGGTGTGGGTGGAATGCTCTAAGGGAAAGCCCAAACAAAGGGCTAGGAAGTTCTTCTCCGTGTGTGCCCAGGAACCAGCCCCGTACCGGAACCACCTGCAGAACTTATTAGCAATGCAGATCCCAGGCCCCCTCGTTATTATTGCAAAGCCACTCTCTGGAGCTCCCAGATCCACATTCTTTAAACAAGCACCTAGGTCCTAGGTGATTCCAATCGCACTCCAGTTTGAGAATAACCAGATCAGAGGCTCCAATGCTGGATGCACGTGAGCATCACCCTGGGGGACCTTTAAAAAACTCTGGTGCCTGAACTCTATTCCAGTCCCATAAAACCAGTCCCATCAGTGTTATTAAAATCTCCCCGGGTGATTCCCAGGTACAGCCACAGTTGAGGCCCATTGGCCTGGGCAGAGGGAGAAGACGTGGAGACTCAGGGAGGGGTGGTGGGAAGGGAGGGGGTGAGAGAGCCAAGGAGAGGAGGGATGCCCAGAAGAGGAGCCGCGTCCTCAGAGCTCCCACCTGCCTCTCGGAGAGGTCCAGGTTCACGGCGATCTCGTATCTCCGGAGCCGCGTCAGGTAGTTGTGGTGAGCAAACTCGGCCTCCAGCTCCCGCAGCTGCTCCTTGGTGAAGGCCGTCCTCTCCTTGCGGGCCTTGCTGCCGCCCTCCGGTTTTCCTCGGTTCTCCTGGTTGTCTGGGGAGAGAGGGCCCCAAACAGGAAGACGTAAACCTCAAGGGCCTCGGTTCCCTTTCTTTGGTCATGAAGCAGCGAGGCAGCCTTTTCCTGTCTCTCTTATTTTGAAAGGATGAGGAGAAAGAACCCACGTTGTCCCTTTATCTTTCCTTCGAGTGTCTTAACCCGCTGAGAAATGGGAAGTTTTTTGGTTCCCAACTTTAGGTGCCAGCTCCCTCACCCCCACGGTTTTCTTCCCAAAGCACAAGAAGCTGCCTTTGGCTGTTCAATGACCGCTGCCACCCAGCTCACCCCCCAGCTTGGCATTAGTCGTGGGCAAGGTGCTCTAAAACAGGTTCTCTGTCCTCAGCAACATCAACTGTTAGAAATGCAGGTCCTGGGGCCTCACTCACCCCAGACCCACTGAATGAGAGGCTCTGGGAGTGGAGCCCAGTGATCTGTTTTAACAAGCCCTCCAGGTGATTCTGACTCACCGTCAAGTTTACAACCACTGCCCTGGCCCTGAGATCTTGCTAACAGGGTGTTCTGGTGGCAGCATCAGCAGGGAGCTGGTCAGACTTGCAGGATCTCAGACAGCGCCCACCCCCATGTACTGAATCAGAATCTGCATTTTAGCAAGATCTCTAGGGGCGCTGTGTGCACCTGTCAGTCAAAAAGTGTTGCTTTAAGCTTCTTTCGCCCTTTGACACCTGGAGGAGTCTGGAAAGTTCATCTATGAAGGAGGCTCACTCCATCATAACTGTTAACAGGGTGCAGGGACCAGCACAGTACATGCATCAGTCACTTCACCCTCACAATAACCCCCCTAGATGAGTTCTAGTATTAGCCCTGTTTTATAGACCAGGAAGCTAAGCACAGAGAAGTGAAGCCAGCTGACCCCAGTGCATCCAAGTACAATCAGCCAGTGAATGGCGGAGGCAGCCATCAAGCCCAGGCAGCTTGACTCACATTCTGTCCAAATGAAATGTATGTAGGAAGGGTTTACAAACTGCCAAGTACTGAACGAATGAAGGGACTGTATGCTGCTACCTCCGAGCAGGGTAAGAGGGGCTCTCCCTTCGCGTTTAGCGGAGGCGGGTGGAGGGGCAGGAAGGAGAGCACACACCTGCACCGGGAACCGACAATGGGGGCCCCGTGGCTGGTGCGGGCGCAGGAGCCACCCTTCCTGCAGGCTCCGCGGTTGGGAAGTCGCACTTCCTTGTCCTGGTTTTACAGACAGGCCGCGCCTCGCAGTCGGGGCTTTGCTGAAAGCTGCACCCCACCCCCCTGCCCCTTCGAGGCCGCATCCCCACCTGGTTGTGCGTGTTGTGGGGAAGATCATCTCTCAGAGGCTGAGTCTGAACCGACCGACGGTGGAGGCCGCCCACCCTCCGGGCCAAGCAGCACCTCCCGACCCCGCAGAGGTGGGGACGTAGAGACCCCTGTCCACCCCGCTTGCTAGTTCCCTTCTGCTTTCCATTCAGTCCCCTGTGTATCAGGATCTTTGTCCTCCGCCCCCTCGTTACTCGGCTGGGAGCCGGGCGTGGCGGCCCCGGGGGGCGCGGGGAGGCGCCGGGTAAAGCGATTTGGGCGCCGCCACCCCTCACCCTGCGCCCTGAGGCAGGAAGACGAGTGGGCGCTGCCGGCGTCCCGAGAAGGCGGGGGAGGGGTCACCCCAGGGTTCCCCGATGTCCCGATGCCCAAGCGCTGGGGATCTTGGCGCGGGATGCGGGTGGGCAAGCCTGCGGGGCGAGCGAGGGAGCAGGCAGGGCGCGCGCTCTCTGCCCGGATGTTCGCCTGGCGGCCTCTGGCTCCGGGCGGAGGAGGCCGGCCCAGACCCCTCCGGAAGCCGGAGCGTGGGCTGGAGGGGAAGGAGGCGCAGCCCGGCCGGTCCCCCAGGAGCCCTCGGCCTTGGCCGGGGAGGGAGGGCGGGCGGGCACGCAGCGCAGGGACGGCCCCCGGGGCACATGCCGGCTTCACTTCCACCCGCTCCGGTCCCGGGCTCCGCGATCTCCAGCCCTTCCCTTTACCACCGGGTGGTGCAAAACCCTCATCGCCTTGCCGGGGCCTCGGAGGGAGCCACTCAGCCTCTCTGGGCCCGAGTCACCTCATCCAGAAATCGGGGCAATAAAGCACCCACCTGCCAGGGTTACTGGGAAGGTCGGACGAGCCAATGTGTGGGAGATGCTTTTAAAACTTTAAAGCACCGGAAAAATATGAAATTTACTTCCACTTTGTCAACTCCACGAGATGCCACCTGAGGGGCGAGGTTGATTTCCGCTGGCGTTTCTGCAAGGCTTCCACGCAGCCCTGCTTTAATCCTCCCCACACGTCACCCTCAGGAGGAGGCCCTGTTATTCCCCCCTCTCCAGCCACCGGGATCTGTGATCATTTGATTAATCGCTCTCTCTCGCTCCCCAGGGATGGGGCTGTCTTTTCTCGCTGGCTACTGTCCCTGGCACAGAGGAGGCAGGTCTCAGTAGAGAGAGGAGGAAGCAGCCTCAGAGAGGCCCCAGACCCTGCCCAGTGTTCTGGGCAGCTGTTAGGTGGCAGGACAAAGATTCGAACCCAGATCCACCTGACTGGTGCTGAGGCCACCAATCCTCGCATCAGGTTCTCTGTCTTTCCTCTCGCTGCACCCTGGCAGCTCTGCTGGTCTCCCAGGGCTCCCCGGGGGCTCATCCTGGGTTGCTGCCCACACCCCATTACCCCTCCTCCCAGGCCTGCTTATGTGTACACAGGTGCCCGACGGGATCTCAGAAAACAACCCCCTAACCCACCCACACCGTCCTGTCCGTATCCTCCTGACAGACAAGGGGAGGTAGGGAGAGGGCCTCTTTGAGTTGGTCTTAGCCTGGTTATGTGGGCAGCTGACCACTGCCAGCCAAGCCACACCACTCCCTACTCACTCTCCTCTCCCGTCTCTGTTACCCGACTTAGGGGCTGGGCCTCAGGATGGGAAAGAAGAGGAAATAGGACAAAGAAGCCTGGGAACGTAGTGTCTGAGCCACCGTGTGAAGCGTGGGCACCCGCTACTAGAGACGGTAGGGTACTGGCACCGGGCGGACACTGTCCCTCATCAGCTTCCCTGAGGGGGAAGGACTTTCCTTGCTGGTAGGAATGACAAAAGGGCCAGAGGTATGGGAAACTAGCTATGAAAACTGACGTGGAAATTATGGCTCTCTTTGTTCTCCAACATTTCAACAAGATAGAAGAGAGAGAGAAAAAAAAGACAAAGAAAAACGATGAGCACTTTCAGGCCATTTCTGGCCAGGGGCTGTTCATGCTGCCAGCGCACACGCACAGGCCGATTGCACATCACCCCCAGGACGGTTTGATCACAAGAGTGCACTGTTGTCGGGAAGCCTCCCTCCCTCTCCCTCCTCAGTTTCCCCATGTGTGGAAGTACAGAGTCCCGCTGGGTCTTCTTTCCCTTGGGGAGCTGGTGTCAGTGTCCTTGCTCAATACGACATCCTCTTCTCTTCTCCCTACTCCCTCTTCTGTTGAGACCCCCCTGGCCTTGAACTTGAACCCCTTCCAGTTTCAAATATTCTTATCTTGGCCTCTAGTTCCTTCCTTCAGTCAGATCTGGGTTCTTGCAGAACGTTCTGTCCCAAGTCCACCCCCGCACTCCCACCCCCACCCCAGACCCCCCAAGTTCCTCAGCCCAAAGATCCATTCCTCAGCCCCCGGCTATTTCTCCCCCTCCTCC